AAAGGAGTAATGTAAATGTACCAAGCCAGTCCTGGCTTTGCTTGTGACTGCTACGTTATGCGTGAGTAAACCTCTTTGTGAACCACACGTGTCACGGGAGTTTCTCTGTCGAACGGGGCAAACCTTACAGCTACTATGTTACAACTCCCTTCTTAGGGCTGCACTGTGAGCAGATGAATGAGGCTTCTCTTCTTCGGGTTAAATGGGATGGCAGGGAGCTTTGTCCAGTTGCAAGTGCAACTCTTCTGAGTGAGGGGGTTTTGCCTGGGGGCAGGGAGGGTCAATTTGGGTCTGATAGGATTAGGCAAAGAGTGGAGCTGGGTTTGACTCTGGTAGTATCCAAAGACAGGGAGGAAAAAGGGTGCCGCCTCCATTTTGTTAGATCTATTTTCTCCACCATATAGCCACATCTTTTACTTTGATGAAAGTACAATCTTGTTTCTGATACTTTTGGAGTATGATATTCCCACTTGACTTTATGTTTTCTTCTCATGCTAAACCTCCGGTATCCGTTTCTGTCAGACTAAATACGGTGAAGTAAGCGAGTAGCAAGATTAGAGGAAAGAAAGATAAAAATAGAGCACGTATTCAGAGAAACACATAGGACATGCAATTTGGGGATTGGTCTCTGTGTTGCAGAGATGCACTAACTTAAACTTACCAGGCTGTGACTGACCAAAAACCTGCATTTCCTGAATGCACGTGAATCCTCAGCTGATCCTCAAGCTGAAACATAGAGAAATGCTTGGAATGTGGTATTTGATGTACAAGTGGACCTTAAAACCTTCTTTAACTCAGGAAATGATTCCTTGGCTTTTCAATTAGTAAAGGCTTGAATGTTTTATCAGAACAGGGGCCTTTCTAGACATCTTGAAGGCAGAAGTAAAACTTCTAAAAAGCACTGAACAAAATATGGTATCTTAGCTTGAGAACACAGCAGGGAGACCCCCTACATAATTCTGAAGACTGTTGCTAACAACCCTGTAATCTCAAAAAGTGCTTCAGCTACTTGCAGGCAGCTTGCCTCAGTAAGACACAAACTCCCTTTTCCTTTAAGATGGGGGCTATCCAACATAACCTTACCTCGCAGTGGCTGCCTTTAAGGGGGTAGCCAAGGCATATTGCTTTCCAACTCCCAGGGAAGGACAAAGAGGTGGTACCTGGGAAAATCTTAGAAAAGATAATTAAGTAGTGCAAGCAATCCAAAAGGAACACACACATAGGATAGTCCTGCTATGCTGCTGTTGGAGAAATTCCCCCAACAATTTGTTTAAAATGGACACCTGTCCAGTGAAGCACAAATGGTTTATTATGGAACTGGAGGCAGCAAAAACCAGCCAAAAGGGGGGGATGCAAGCTTTTCTCATAGAGTTGGGCAAATTAGAATCTACATATGACTGACCAATAGGACTGGATTAAGAATAGATGTGATTGGACCACTGGTTAGTGAGGTCAGATATAACTGCCCAGAGTCTCTGGAGTTGAGTGGCATATAAATTTAATAAATGATTCTTATTTAGTCTGCAATCTAAGAAGTAGTGAGGGTGTCATTAAAAATATAATAGTGGATTTGGGAGAAAAAAGAGGCAATATTTCACATACACAGTTGCTTTCTAAAGAGTTGCTTTTAATTTTATAATGGCCTTGCCTCCTAGTCTTCCCTCTTAGTATCTTCTAGCTTTATTAACATCTTTTGGGTTTCTAAGTGTTTTATGGGCGACTTGACAAGGTTTATCGCCTAGATCCCTGGGAATGTAATTTACCAGGGAGGATGCTTTCCTTTCCAAACCAACAAAATATTTTCCTTTATTCTGCCTCATCCCAGCATGTTCCTGGGAGGGATAAGTGATCCAGTCCAGGAGTGTCTGCCAAAGAGTATGTGCTCTCACAGAGTCCCTCAAGGTGTGAAGATCCTTCCAGCTGCCCAGTTAAAGCAAGCAGGCACCTAAATCAGGCAGCAGTGATACATGAAGATGTTTTGAGGATCAACTGTCAACAGTAAAGGAACCAACAGGCAAAAAATATGCCTCAGACTAGCATTTGGTAGATGAGGGATGAAGGCGTTCACAAAGATATACAGATGCTGATGTGCCTAATCCTACGAAGATCAGAATCCAGCAGGCAATAGTTTTCTCTGTGAAACTTTATGGAAGCAAAACCTGAAGAAACAGGATAGAAAGAATATCACTGCTCTTCAATTTTGGTGTTGGAAAAGACTCTTGAAAATACCATTAGCTGTCAAGAAAACCCAAAAATGGATCATAGAAGAGATTAACCCACAGTTCACACTCGGGGCAGAAATGACAAGGCTCCATCATATATGGGAACATTATGTGAAGACCCGACTCCACTGAGGAATCTATAAAAGTAGGAAAGATGGGAGGAAGAAGAGGAACAACAACGAGGCAGATGGATTCCATTACAGCAGGAATGAGTACACCACTGGGAGTCCTGAAGGGCCAGTGCATTCTGGACAGGTTTTGACTGGCGGTTGCTAAGAGTTGGCACTACTTTGATTGCACATAGTCAGTCAATCAATCAATCATTTAAATGATAACCTGGTTCAAACAGCACCATTTTATCAGCAATAACATGGAAATAGTTTGCCACTGTTGTGTTCAGATATATTTTTTCAATTTCCCAGTCTAACCTTGTTTTGCCCCATCCAGGTGTGACAGAGGTTTAGGCAATAAACAGGGTAAAACCTGAAATAATTTATTAAGCAAAACAAAACAATAACTGCTTTTAACTGTACAGTGTAATGCGGAGAAGATAGTCACAGACAAGGCAATAAAATAAGTAGTAGCTATATTCAGGGGAGGGATGCATAAGGAAAAGGAGAGCGCGCCAAAATTGGACCCTTACATCCTTCAGCTTCATTGTGTCCTCCTCAGATAGCACTACGGGCCTTCAATCTTGGAATTCCTGGTGGTCTCTTATCCCATCTCTAACCAGGGCAGACCCTGCTTATCTAGACAAGGTTGACCAGATGTCAGAAATTACCCAATCCCATTTTAGTCTCACCTGATGCATTACAGGAACCCAGTTGATGGGTCTGTCCATCCAGAATCTTCCACGTTCAATTCTAGTTGATCCTTCATTTGGGTTGTTTTATCAGGCAGGGAGAATTTATCTGATCTTTCTACATCAGACATAACTGTATATCTTTTATCTTCCAACCTCAAACTTGCTTTCTAATCTAAGAAAGCCCAAATACTTACTTTCTAAAGATTCCAGCCTGTTACTAACCAAATTTCAGTGCAACTAATGGGGTGAATCCAGCTCGGGGGTCAGCTTCTTGTTCAGCAGGTTGTGCAACCCCTGAAAATTGGACTGGGTAATCTGGCAAGACAGTTTCATGGAAAAGAAAGGAGGAGAAAGAAAGAGATGGGGGAAAAAAAGGACAAAAATAAGAAAGATGACAGGAAAGTCTCCTTTACAGACTGTTTTTTTGCAGTTCTCTGAACTTATGGCAATCTGCACCGAAGTGTGGATCATGTTTTCAGCACAATGGTTCAGACACAACAATTGCCTTGCTGTATCCACAGTCTGTGTGCAATTTGAACTCTATGGGGCTGGTTGATTAGAGGCTTCCTAGGTGGCATCCACTGACTGCATGGAGGAAGCCTTGCTAGAACGCCTTCAACTCAGACTACAAAAAAGGTGTGTATGATGGACCTGGGCTACCATTATCCCCAGAGATCCATAACATCTCCTTTCTCTTCCAGTCTGAATTCCTACCCTTTTCTCTGATCGTTGACTGCCCAGGACAGACACTTTTGAGAAATCATGGAAGAAATTAATTTATAGAGTTTGGAAAACTGTAAAATCAGTGGGAATAGGATGGTTTGGGCAATGTAGCTTGGGGTTACAAAAACATGCAGTTTGGAGTTCCATTTAGCTCTGTTATAATATTGCAGCCCTAGGCAGATCTCATCTGATGCAAGCCCTAGACTTACATGAAACTCCTTTGATGAATGTGAAAAAAAAAAAAAAATTATATACTTTCTTTTCACCTCTCTTCTCCTTTCTTAAGCTGTGCAGTTTTTCTTCTCTTCTTGTTCCACCTCCCACACCTGCCACATTACAGGTAGCTGGGACTTAACAATGGTAACTGGGACTAGAATTTCTGTCGCTAAACAATGAGATCATAAAGGCAACATCATGTAACCCCATTAACTTTGCTTGTGGGAAGCAGGCAGGGAAAGTTGCAAATCATGATCTTTATGACTCGTATCCCACAACGGCTGGAAATCCAGGCCAGTTGCCAAGCACTGGGATTGACAGTACTGTGGGGTCACTGCAATGGCTGGAACTTTGAGGAACGGTTGTAATTACCACTCATTCAGCACCATCATAAGTTCAGTCACTGAATGAGTGGATGTTAAGCAAGGACTACCTGTATCACATAAAGCCCTAACTTTCTTTGACCACAGACCTAGCAATCTGAGATGGTATGTTCTCCATATCCAGGATATGTGCAGAAAGTGTAACATGAATGAGACTAGGGTGCACTTTCACTGACTCGCCCATTCTCTTGAACTTCTCTACTGTAATTCTCCTGTATGGGTCATCCTGTGACAAGTAAGGTCACTGATCCACTCTCAGCTATTTTCATATTCGAGCACTTACAGCTTTTCTCCTGTGTAGATGTTAAATGCTAAATGAGATTCCAGCTCAAACCAAAGATCTTTGCACATTCCATGCAACGGTAAGCTCTCTCTCATGTCTGGATGCTTTGATGATGAATTAGTTGACTATTTCGAATGAAGCTCATTCAATGGATTCATATGGTTTTTCATGTGTGTATACATTTATGACAACTAAGCGCACTATTTTCAATGAAGCTTGTTCCACATTCCATGCATTTATATTTTTCTCCTGTGTGGATCCCTAAATGATGAGTAAAGATGCTGTAGTCATTAAAGCTTTTTTCACACTCAGTGCATTTATATGGTCTGTTCCCTGTGTGGATCCTTTGGTGGCGAGTAAGGTCTCTGTTGTCAATAAAGGTCTTTCCACATTCCATGCATTTATATGGTCTCTCCCCCGTGTGAATCCTTTGGTGGCGAGTAAGATCTCTGTTGTCAATAAAATTCTTTCCACACTCCATGCATTTATATGGTCCCTCTCCTGTGTGGATCCTTTTATGAGAATTAAGTTTGCCTTTCTGAATAAAGCTCTTTCCACACTCCGAGCATTTATAAGGTTTATTCCCTGTGTGGATCATTTGGTGGCACATAAGGTCTCTGTTGTCAAAAAAGCTCTTTCCACACGCAGTGCATTTATATGGTCTGTCCCCTATGTGGATCCTTTGATGGAAAGTAAGGTTTCTATTCTCAATGAATCTCTTTCCACACTCTCTGCAACTATAAGGTTTCTCCCCTGTGTGGATCCTCTGATGGCGAGTCAGATTACAGTTAGTACTGAAGCCCTTTCCACACTCTGTGCATTTATAAGGTTTCTGCCCTGTGTGGATCCTTTCATGACGAGTAAGATGTTCTTTCCGAGTAAAGTTCTTTCCACACTCTATGCATTTATATGGTTTCTCACCTGTATGGATCCTTTTATGGTAAGTAAATGTCTTGTGGTTGTTAAAGCTTTTTCCACACTCCGTGCATTTATATGGACTCTCCCCTGTGTGCATCCTTTTATGATGAGTAAAGGTCTTGTGGTTGTTGAAGCTTTCTCCACACTTCATGCATTTATACGGTCTCTCCCCTGTGTGGATCCTTTTATGAGAATTAAGTTGTCCTTTCTGAGTAAAGCTCTTTCCACACTCTGTGCATTTATATGGCTTCTCCCCTGTGTGAATTCTTTCATGATGAGTAAGATGCCCTTTCTGAGTAAACTGCTTTCCACACTCAATGCATTTATATGGTCTCTCCCCAGTGTGGATCCTTTTATGATGAATAAGTTCTGTGTTCCGACGAAAGCTTTTTCCACAATCCATGCATTTATATGGTCTCTCCCCTGTATGGATCCTTTCATGAGAATTAAGTTGTCCTTTCTGAGCAAACTTCTTTCCACACTTTGTGCATTTATATGGTTTCTCCCCTGTGTGGATTCTTTCATGATGAATAAGCTCTGTATTCCGACGAAAGCTTTTTCCACACTCCATGCAACTATATGGTTTCTCCCCTGTGTGGATCCTCTGATGGCGATTAAGAGTACTGTTGCTACTGAAGCTCTTTCCACACTTCATGCATAGTTTCAACATTCTGCTCAGACTGAAATCCTTCCCAAATTTTACAAATGTATGTGGTTTGTGTTTCCTGTACAGTTTCTTAGGTAAATTAAGAGAGAAGGAATGATTGACATTTTTTCCATACTGTCTGGAATCATATTGTTTTCCTTTAGTCTGGCTTCTGCCATATTCATGTAAATCACATTCATTTTTCTCTCTTTTGCCATATTTTCCCCTTCTCTTCCCCTTCTGATCTTGCTGGGTCAGGAAGCCATGGATTTCAACAGGGAGAGAAGTGGAGGACTTCTCCCCTTCGTCTTCTGATTGGCTTTCCTCTTGCCTTTTTGGATCCCCTTGATGGGCAAACAGCACTTCTTCGAATTCATGCTTCACTGTTTGCAGTGGCATTAACCTCACCTGATTGTCATTGTCATTCTCTGGCCCATCACCTGCTTGGAAAAAAGAAAACAGAAATTCCTATTAGAATTTGGAACTGTTAAGAAGGAGGGCCTCCCCCTCTTAAAAACTTGCCCATCTGCGTTCCAGGTTTGTCACAGCCATGTGTCCGGGTAGATGTTGGATGCAAATTTTTATCTAGGAGACTCTGATAGCATCCAAGGGATTTTTCAGCTGGGAACCAGATTAAAGCTTTGCTGTTGATCAGTCAATCTGCCCAGGCACCTCCATAGAGCGCCTAGGGCTTTTCCCAAAGCAATGGTGAGCATTTCTGCCAAGGCCTTATTTGTCTGCTAGATGCCTTGGACAAAATTGCCCCTGAAGGGCCTCTGCTGGTTAATGATTCAGTGGGACCCTGGCAGCTGAAGGGAATCAAGAGATGTTTGGAATATCGTTGGCATAAGATAGGTAAGCATACAGATTTGGACTGGACTGTGGTGATACCTTCATTCAGGATGTTTTTTGAGTGCCAGCCTGGACAACAGGCCTTGCATATCAGCCAAATAGTAAACACGTCTAACCCTGATTTTTTTTTTTTCAGATTAGGAAAGGTTTGATGGGAGTGCGGTAATTCAGGTGGTGGCCAGGTAAGAGTCATGACCATTTTAAGCAACTGAGTGCAGATATCTTCCCTGTTTACCTTGTACTGAAAAATCCTTCCGCAATGAATGGAACCCAGAGCAAATGGGGGCCTTACCCAGAGCAGCTATATTCCTCGAAAACTCCAGCATGACTTCCCTGCACAAGGCCCTCTGGCCAGAATCCAGCAATGCCCACTCCTCCTCCGTGAAGTCCACAGCCACCTCCTCAAAAGGACCAGAGCCCTAGAAAAAGGAAGAAAATCTTTCTTAGTAGGCAATCCCACAAAATACTTGTAAGATGTCTCCCATATTGCACAAAACAGGAAACAGAGTCTTGCAAGATACCAAATGGGCATTTTCTTGCAGGACAGATTTATATCTGGATGTCCACATAGTCCTTGTGGTTGTGAAGCTGCCCCCCACTCCACCAAGGCTACTGCTGTAACTGCACAAAATATGGCTTAGGTGCATCCAAGTTATAGAATGGCCACACAGCCCCCCCTTGTGGAGCCTCCCACTGGCCTGGAATAACTCAGCAAGAAGGTTTTGGGGAGCAGAATCCCCTGGTCTCACCTCCCTTGGGGAGCAAATTCCAAATTCCTTAGAAAACAGGACGCACACACTAGGAAGTTCTTTCCTGGCCTATTTCAAAATGTTGGAAATGACCCCGGAAGTCCTAAGGCACTTGACAAACAGTCTTGCTGTTGCAACCACCGAGGGTTTTTTACAAGGGAAATCTGTCCTTCATTTGATTCACTTTTAAGTGGATACCGTAGCATATTTTTGAAGCAGTTTTTATCTTATTCCTATCCTTTCAATTCATGGGTTTCATTTTTTTACTGGTTTTCCGCACACTTCTGAAAAGTATTAAGGAGTATTAAACTCTTTCAACAAATAAATTACATGTCCTAATTTTGAACCTCTCAGGTTACCCTGTGAATTGTCTCTCATTTGTTATCTCCAAAACAATCTTGAAAAATGCACACAGACTTAGAATTTGGTTGTAAAAGCAGCTCATGAATGGAAGGAGCTTGAACTCTACTGCTCTCAGAAGAAACCTACACTTACGTGGCAAGGTGGCCCAAATTGGATCCTCTTAAAAAGCAGCTCTTTAGAAGGACTGGATTGATCTCTTCCCTGGAGCTTTGCTGAGATCTCCCCCATGAATGGCTCCTGCACCTGAAAGAACAGCCTGATTTATGATCCACTTTCAGATGACCGTAACCATGTTAGCTTGCTTGCCTTACCTTTTGGCTCTCCACCTGTACTTTCCCAACCGAAGTCAAAGTGATACAACTGAAAGATTGTACTCTGTACGTAGTTGCTATTTCTGGGTGTATGCCTGCCATTTTTGTGAAATGCTTCATTGCCTCTTTTTATTTCCGTTCTGATCAGGAGTTCCTTCTTTACCTTCTCCTCGTCACTTGATAGGTGTGGCCTTTCCTTCTTTGTGGATGTACATATTCCTATCTCTTCCTCCTGGAATATTTCCTTTAAATTTAGGGACACAGATAGCAAATGATTCAAAGGAGATCAAAGGAAGATGGAAGGAGTATGCTGAAACACTCTACAGTACAGATGTCAACATCCAAGATACCTTAAAAGATATTCCCTATTTATCTCTAGTACTAGTAGATGAAGTTAGATCACTACTGGAAGAGATCAATCTAGGCTTCCAGGTGAGGACCTATGATGGGTTACATGTCCCAGCGAGCAGCTCTGTGAGCGGTGACAGCACTGTGGCGAAGATTGGCAGCTAGGCAGCAAGTTCTAGCTGACAAAATTGTCTCCAGAGAAGTAAAGATTGGGAAATTGCCCATTTGTGGTCTGGATAGCTACTCCTCACAAGGAGATCACAGGAATTGAGTTTCTTGCAGTTGATCATGGGTTGAGAGGTTTAGGAGATGAGGGATTACCATCATGCTCAAAACTGCTGTGTAGCCTTTATAGACATTTGTCCTGCAAAAGCCTCACTTTCTTAAATACAGTGGTACCTCGGGATACGAACGCCTCTACTAACGAACATTTCGGGTTACGACCAGCTTCGGCAGGAAAAATTTACCTCGACTTACGAACCGGATCCGTGGCCATTTTCCCTGCTGCCACGCGGTCGCGGCTTCCTGTGGGCGAGGTCGCAGTAGCAAGGAGACGTTCGGTGAGGCTTGTGGTGTGTTTTGCGGTGTTTTGCGAAAGTTTTTGGTGTGTGTGTTAGCATGGCTCCAAAGAAAATGCAGAGCTGGCTTGGCGGGAGTAAGGCTCTGAAGAGAAAAGTGACGATCGAGCTGAAGAAGGAAATTATAGAAAAGCACGATCGTGGCATTCGTGGGACTGATCTGGCCTCGGAGTACAAGATGGTGAAGTCGACCATCTCGACTATTCTCAAGAATAAAGATGCCATCAGAGGAGCTGATGTGGCAAAAGGAGTGTCGATCTTAAGGCAGAGGACACCAGTGCTGGAAGAGGTGGAAAAGCTGTTGTTGGTGTGGCTGAA